CCCTCTCCCTCTCCCTCTCCCTCTCCCTCTCCCTCTCCCTCTCCCTCATGGTTCCCACTGCTTCCTTATGCCTTTCTTCTTTTTTAAAAAATTTATTTATTTTTGGCTGTGTTGGGTCTTCGTTGCTGCATGCGGGCTCTCTTTAGTTGCGGCGAGTAGGGGCTACTCTTTGTTGCGGTGCGTGGGCTTCTCATTGTGGTGGCTTCTCTTTTTGCAGAGCACGGGCTCTAGGTGCATGGGCTTCAGTAGTTACGGCACGCAGGCTCGGTAGCTGTGGTTCGCAGGCTGTAGAGCGCAGGCTCGGTAGTTTTGGTGCATGGGCTTAGTTGCTCCGCGGCACGTGGGATCTTCCTGGACCAGGGCTCGAACCCATGTCCCCTGCATTGGCAGGCAGGTTCTTAACCACTGTGCCACCAGGGAAGCCCCTATGCCTTTACTCTTGACCACTGTGTCTTCACTCTACTTTGCTCTGCCTCAGGACTACATGAGAGGCTCCTGACTTTCAGACATGTGTGTTACTGCTTCCTCATGCCTGGTCCTGAGCCCTGTCTCTGAAAGGTTAGGTATTAGAGAATTGATTAGTTACAGTTTCATATAAATTTTAAATTTTGGGCCAGACCCATCCTAAGCAACTGTTTATCCTATAGAACCTCCTTTTGGCTCAAGCACTGATCCTCAGGCTTTACCACTGCAAATAAGGGCAATAGGCTATTTTGCTTACTTATAATAATAACTTGTAACATTTCCTGAGCACTTGCTGCATGCTAGGTATTTTCTAAACCTTTTACATGTATTCATTCATTTTATCCTTACAACAACCCTATGAAGTAGGTTCTATTATTAACTCCATTTTACAAATTGGAAACCGAGGCATAGGGAGGCTGATAAACTTGTCCAAAGGTTACATAGTTTATAAATAAGGTTTTCAGAATTTGAACCCAGGCAGTCTGACCTCTCAGATTCCAAGCTTTCCATTTTAAGTTAGATGCTATAGCCTGCTTACTAAAATTAAGTAGGTCATTAAAAGAACCAGGCTTTACTTAGAAATTATTCTAAGCAATTCAGAACAGTGCCCTCATCTCTAGACATGAAAGTTTCATGCTGCTGGAGCAGGAAAATAACGTGTCACCGTTCTGTAGGAAATAAGCTAAGTCTCATGATTTAAATATTTATTACTGGAATTACTGTATTTCACTGGAAGAAATTCAAGATTAAGTTCTCCAGATTCTCCCTGTGTATCAGAAATATTTTAGGTGCCTGTTAGTTCACAATTTCTTCAGGCCCACTCATTCACCTGTCCAGATATAGCTGACTTGATCTGGGTAGGGCTTAAGAGGAATGGCGCCACCGTTACTGGCCAGTAACCAGAAACTTTTATCTTTAATTGAAAATATGAGCAGACTAGTAAAATCAAGAAATGGAAGCTGCCAGCGAGCTGAGGCCATTATACACAGGTGCTGACTGTGAGACAAGAAAATTTCTACTTTGTCATTTTATGTTCCTGAAGCCTGTTCACTCCAGAATATTGAATATACTACTCAGTCTCTGCCTGCCCTCTACTTTTTTTTTTTTTTGCGGTACGCGAGCCTCTCACTGTTGTGGCCTCTCCTGTTGCAGAGCACAGGCTCCGGACGCGCAGGCTCAGCGGCCATGGCTCACGGGCCCAGCTGCTCTGTGGATGTGGGATCTTCCTGGACCGGGGCACAAACCCGTGTCCCCTGCATTGGCAGGCGGACTCTCAACCACTGCGCGACCAGGGAAGCCCCTGCCCTCTACTTTTATTTGCACTCATCTGAAGTAGGTTTGTTCCTTGAAATCGCATGAGTCTTAATGTGTATGTCACCAGTATTGTGATTGGATACCTTTGGGAGTCTAGCCATCATCCACCCATTTAAATTTAAATTGATTTAATTTTAGTTTTTAATGTAAAATTTGACTCATTTTTTGGGCCCTGTGTTTCCTTAGAGAGCTTTGACCATGTGTCTTATATGACTTGGTTTGCTGAAAATTGGCACTGTCTCTTCCTTCTAGAAGTGGCCATGTTAGCTTAGTGACCCAGTATGTATGGGCCTGGGATTAAACTGGGTTTGAATCCCAGCTCCTCCACTCAGCAGTTGAGTGACATTGGGCAAGCTATTGGTTCAGTGTCCTCAAATGTAAAGTGATGACAGTAGTCCCTCCGTCATAGGGTTGTTACAAAAATAAAACGAGTTAATACGTGTAAAATGTTTGTAAAGCACCAACCACATAGTAAGGGCTCAAAATCAAAAACATCTTACCATTATGATGATGATGGTGATGATGGATGATATTTTTGCTGCCATGCTGCATCTGGCACTGAAGCCATTTGATGGGCTTAGAGAAATGGTTCTTAAGTTCATATTGTCAGGTGTGACTTGACTGCAGGACATTCTGATTTATTAGGTCTAAGAGAGTCCAGGAATCTATTTTCAAACCACCTCCACTCCCCCCACAACATCCCCAGCTCCCCATGATTCGGAACAAAAGATAACATAGTGTGATTCCATTTATACGAAGTGTCCAGAATAGACAAGTGTAGAGACAGAAAGTACACTAGTGGTTGCCTGGGACTGGGAGGGTGAGGGAATGGGCAGTGACTGCAATAGATTTGGAGTTTCTTTTGGGGGTGATGAAAATGTTCTAAATTTAGATTGTGGCGATGGTTGCACAACTGTGAATATACTAAAAATCAGTGAATTTTACACCTTGAATAAGTGACTTGTATATTATGTGAATTATATCAATAAAGATGTTTTTAAAAATGGGAGGGGAATATTTGAAACCGGGGGAAAGGATGCAAACTGGAAGCTTGGAAAGAGCCTTTTTAAAAAATCCTTTTTCTTTTTATTCACTAACACAAACACATAATAATCCAGTTATCTGAAAGTTAGACTTCTGGGAACTTCACCTCCTGGGAAACTGCCCTGTAAAGGAAATAAGTTTAAAAGAGAAAAAAGAAAGCCTTCTGAGTTCAGAAAACACCTGTACTAACGCCAGGGACAGGAATCATTCAAAGGTAATGAATGGTGCTGGAGAAAAGCCTCAAAATAAATTCATCTAAAATAGAGACCAAAAAATTCATAGTAAAAGTTTCTAAATGAATTTTTATATTTGACAGATTTTAGGTTATAATTCCAACTGAGCTAATTCTTAGAATAAATAACCAGTTGGTGTTTTTTCCCCTTGGCGTAGGCATGGCATGGATTTATAGATAAAATAGGGGTGGTAGGCGAGCACAGTAAGATATCCTTTACTTACTGTCTGACTCACAACAAAAAAATAAGTCAGTTTTGTGAAAATAATTACAGACTTAATCATTTCTCTGAATGGCCTTAGTCATTTAGTGTTTAAATCATTCTTTATTTGAAGCACATGTCATTACCCTGTAGCTTTTCTCTTTGGTTATTAACTGGTCTGAGTCTTCTGTCACTTTTCACTGGCTTTGCTTTGATTCAGCCATCTCCAATATCACCTTTAAAGGCTTCCTGGGAGCCTGTTTGTTTTGGAAGATTTGCAGTTTCATTTCACAGCCCATTTGCCTTGTGTTGTTGGATCATCTGTGAGAGCCTGATAGAAGCTAAGTTAATTATTAATTAGGAAGGGGTGAGTCTGGGATTAATTTTATAAGGAGACAGTTTGTTAGTAGTTGTTTTTAAATGACAGCTTTGTATCCCAGGTAACAAACATTCATGTAAGATGGTGTATCTGTATTTGTTGGAGTGCTTAATTTACTGAGGTGCTAACTCAAAACTTGTGATTCTTATTAAGTACACAATTTATAAAAAATAAGATCATCTATTCTCAATGTATTAGAATTGGAGAGGTAGCTGTTGCAAGGTGCGGGTGAAGATTAGGGGTTACGTGGCACTGCCTGATGTTGAGGGAAGGGAGCTGATTTGCTATATAATAATGCATACAATAATTCTATTTTACCAGTGGGGAAACTTTGTGTCTAGAGATGCTAAGTAATTTGCTCAAAATAATACCACCATTAACTCAATTGGGCCCATCTTATTTCAAAGTCCATGTTTTTTAAAAATTATACTAGCCTGTCTTTTTTTTTGTTTTTTTTTGTGGTACGCGGGCCTCTCACTGTTGTGGCCTCTCCCATTGCAGAGCACAGGCTCTGGACATGCAGGCTCAGCAGCCATGGCTCACGGGCCTAGCCGCTCCACGGCATGTGGGATCTTCCCGGACCGGGGCACGAACCCATGTCCCCTGCATCGGCAGACGGACTCTCAACCACTGCGCCACCAGGGAAGCCCTTCTATCCTGTCTTTTAACAAAGTTGTAGCTATCTGGAAAAGTCTGTTCTCACCAGTTAATAACATATGTAATTTACAATTTTATATAATTTAGTCTAAAAGCATTATAGAATAAAGGGTATTGATGTCAACTGTTCATCAGACCTTAATATTTTAATAACTAACACTTATATGATGCTTGTTAGTTTACAGAAGCACTTCTTTTCATCATACATTTCATATAATTCCTGTAAAAACCTATGAAGTAATCCTTGTTTTACTAGTGGGTTTAGGCTTCAAATTTAAAAGACAGTTGCATAGAATTATGACCCCAAAACATTAGGGCCCAGCTCTTTAGCTTCCAGATCTGATTTTTCTGTTATACTATACTGCTTCTTTGTAGAATGACAGAAGCCCTACAAATATGCCTTTTGTGGCAATAAAATAGCCCGGAAATCTTACCGTCCATGATGTCTGTTGGACTGGTTTACTATATCATATTTAAATGATGTGTTTTAATGAAATTCTAAAATTTGGTATGGTAGAACTATATACCTTAACATTAATTTCTGTGGATTTGGTAACAATGTCTATCCTTTTACTTCTTAATAGTTAATGATATATGTTGAAGTAGATTGGTTTATAATGGAAATCTATGTATAATCTAATTTTTTTTAATCTAGTCTCTGTAGAAGCTGAAATCCATCAATCTCCGTTCTTCAAAATGCAATGGAACGTACCAAAGACTGTATTCCGACTGGCACATAGGACATGCATGGAACCAGATAAAGCTGGTCTTTTGGGACACTGTCAAAACATGAAGGGACCATTACTTTTGTATACCTCAGAATCCAGAGTGGTTTGGGTACAGGGCCCTCAGAAACGATGGCTGCACTTACCTGCTGCCCAGTGTGTTGCAAAGGAAAGGAAGCCATTCATTGCTCACCCACCCCAACCAGGGATCCTTCATAAACAGTGGGAGCAGGATATCTTATCCAAGAGGGTTCTGTCATCCAGTGCTACATCCCCAGGAACTCCCTCTGAAAAAAAGGAAGAACCTGATCCTTTACAAGACAGATCAATTAGTCTTTATCAACGATTTAAGAAAACATTTAGACAATATGGAAAAGTTTTGATTCCAGTGCATCTAATAACTTCTGGTGTTTGGTTTGGAACGTTTTATTATGCAGCCATAAAGTAAGTTTTTGCTTGATTGAGCGCCTTTCCCTGTTTTATCAGAATGTTAATCTTAATTGTACTAATGAAAGCCTTTAAGTAGTTTTTTAAATGCTTTAATGTCTTCAATTGATAGAGGATGACTATTTTTCATAGCAGTTTTCCACATTTTAATAACAGTAGCTAACATTCGCTTACTGTGTACAGCAGGTATTATGCTAAAATTTTTATAACTGTATCATCTCATTTAATTCTCACAGCAACCATATGAAGCAGGTAGTGCAATTATTCCCAGTTTATTAATGAGAAAACAGATTAAGCAGGAATAAGTCAAAATAACTTAGTTTTTCCCAAAATAACTCGGAGTCTGATTTCAAGCCTTAATCACTATGCTTGTGTCCCATCAACATATAGGATAGCATAGGAATAAAATTACAGTTTCCAGAGATTTGGCAGCACCGTGAGTTAGTTCTGTACTTATATGTTTCTTACAGTGTTTATCAGCGTGAAAAGATAACTTATTTTGCCATGTGTATGGTTTTGGTTGGAAATTAGTAAGATTTTGCAAAGCCTGGCTTGTATCTGTTGTAGACACAAAAATGAACAAATTGCAGACTTATGCTTTAATGTTACATCTGATGAATGTCAAGGTAAGGTCTTTTGTTCTGATCAGAAGTTGATTTGTTGTCTGCTTAAAATCTTGTTAAGAGGGTATATCTCGTGTTAGGTATTTTTTACTACAATAAAGTAAATGTTTTTTAAAAAGTTAATTTAGTGGTCCTAGCCTCCAGGTATTATAAAACGTAGAATTTCTAAATGTACCTTTCTTGTTAATTACTGTTCCTTTCTTTTAAAGTGAGTTGTATCATTCACACTGTTTTAGGAGCAGGAGTACACGTAGAAACAGATTATCAGTGATTTCCAGTTTCTTTCTGCCACCAGCAGAACTGAGTGTGCCAGCGTGTGCCTGTCCCTAGTGCTGTGTGGCTTTTCTTGCTGTGGCCTGGGTGTGACCTATGAACAGTATGTTCACCATCCTGCAGGCAATGAGATGCACAGTAAAGACCACTTTGATGTTTTTGTAAACTCCTCTAATGGGTTTAGAATTATTTTATACTTTCCAAAAGTCCACTGATTTTCAGTTTTGGGTTATATTTAATGGTTTGACAGTAAGGTATTAAATATTTTAATGTAAAGCTCACTCATTGGAAAAAGCTTATCATTTATTAAATTAAAAGATGATGGAATGGAGACTATTCTTATTCTTGGGAAACATGGGATTAGAAATGTTTCTTTACAAAAGTTCTGTTGAATAAAAGGATTTTTTTTTAACCTTGTATAATTGATGCTGTTCTGTTTCTTTTCATGTCTTTCTATTTAGTTCTTGTTATTCAGTTATTTCCTTCTTCATTATGTATCATTATTTTCTTTAAGAATTCCTTTCTTTGCAGAGATTCTTATATGTGCATTTTATGGAATTATCTTTTTATTAATGACATTTTCTGGACATGTATAAAAATATTTATAGAAATCTTCAGAACTGCCTTTAATTTTTTAACAGAGCCTAAAATCGTGTACCATTTTGAATAAAAATTTCATAGGCATTCAGTTCTTCTATTTAATGAATAGTTTTCTACGTATTGAATTTTCTTTTTTGAGCCATTTAGGATTTTTCTGATTCGGTGTTGTGGATGATGATGAGTTTCTTCCATGTTTCTTTTGCCTTTGCTAGGTTGCCTTTAATAAGCATTCAGCCTCCTGGCCTCAGGGGGAGAAATCTAAGTTTTTAATAATTGAATATGAGATTCTTGTTTGGACTATTAAAAAGAGTACTTTTGTTCCTTTTACTTTTCCTTGCCTTCAGTAAAAGAGTTCTATAACCAAAAAAACAGACCTTCAAATAACCTAGTAATATTAATTAGACTTAGGACGCTTTCGGTGGTGTCTGCACTGATGCAGTTGTGGTGACGTTCTGCTGTCCCCTGTGGAGTCCACCTTTCTTGGTTTTGTCCTTCCCCCTCTTTTTTCTGTGAATGCCTGTGTGTAAATGTGGTGGCACTGTCCACTTTAAAGTCGTATACCTCATCCATCACCGCCTGCCTTTGGCTCTTTGTCAGCATGGAAATTTGGTTCCCAGACCCAGCTCTACTGCCCCACCGTGACCACTGGTCCAGTTCTGTTACAGCATCACATAGCTAAGTTATATTAGGTAGGATGTGTTGCTTTCCAGAACAGTCCCTAATGTTTTGTTAAGTCCTTAATGCTTGAGAAATTGAAAGTTGATTTGTTCTAAGGGAAGTGATACTTAGAAAATATTAGTTTATGCTTGAATGGCAGTGTATCTTTCACCGTGAGATGATTTTATTGTGATATTGGAGTTGATTGTGTTAAATACAGGTTTTCAATTCAACTGACTAGAGGCTGGGTTTATTTTATTTGGTTTTAGCTGAAAAAAGTTCTCTGTTATTTGCTTGTTGCCTACTTACTATTAAAAGAAAAGGGAAAACATAGTTTGTAACTTGAGGGACAACTAGCATTACTGCCTCTCAGCACCACAGAGCAAAATGCCATTCTGTATTTAGTTAACACAGTGATGAAGATCTCAGGCTTTTGAAACATTTTATTTCAGGGAGATCTAAATTGTGCGTCCTCATAGATTTTATTTATTTATTTATTTTTTAATTAATTTATATTTTTGGCGGCATTGGGTCTTTGTCGCTGCGCACAGGGTTTCTCTAGTTGCGGCGAGCGGGGGCTACTCTTCTTGCGGTGGGCGGGCTTCTCATTGTGGTGGCTTCTCTTGTTGCGGAGCACGGGCTCTAGGCGCACGGGCTTCAGCAGTTGTGGCGTGTGAGCTCAGTAGTTGTGGCTTGTGGGCTCTAGAACGCAGACTCAGTAGTTGTGGCTCACGGGCTTAGTTTTGGTTGGTCCGCAGCATGTGGGATCTTCCCAGGCCAGGGCTCGAACCCGTGTCCCCTGCATTGGCAGGCGGATTCTTAACCACTGCACCACCAGGGAAGTCCATACATTTTATGTTAAACTAAGCTTTGTTGTTGCTTCTCTCTGGAAAAGTTGCAGAGATCTTTCATCTTCTAACAAGAAGTTCTCTGTTTGGTCCAATGAAGCTCTTTGAGGATGGTTTTGTCTCTACGTTTAGATGCCTTGTATTTGGGCCTCAAATTTCTAAAGTTACAGATCCATTTTGAGGCACAGTCCTGACTGGTTTTCACTGCACTTCGTCCAGACTGTGGATATACTTTTGCATCATTTGGAACATCCATAAAGCTGGTGGTTTGTGAAGCACAGGTTTCTGTCAGGCTGAGGGGACTTTTGTGACAAGAGTGGATATTACTATTTGGATCAGACCCTCATTAATGCTTCATATTTAGTAATTCCAAAGGAAATGAAAGTTATTTTTTAAAAGTTAAGTCATCAAATCAATAGTTTAGAAAAAAGTGGGACCAGGTAGTTGCTTCTTTATTTTACACAGGATACTTGTGCAAGATATCTTGGTCATTATTGTTTGTTTTTATGATAGTTTTTTTTTTTGCGGTACATGGGCCTCTCACTGTTGTGGCCTCTCCCGTTGCGGAGCACAGGCTCCGGACGCGCAGACTTAGCGGCCATGGCTCATGGGCCCAGCCGCTCTGCGGCATGTGGGATCTTCCTGGACTGGGGCATGAACCCGTGTCCCCTGCATTGGCAGGCGGACTCTCAACCACTGCGCCACCAGGGAAGCCCTATGATAGTTTTTTTTTTAGATTTATTATTCATTTATTTATTTATTTTTGGCTGTGTTGGGTCTTAGTTGGAGCACATGGGATCTTTGTTGAGGCATGTGGAATCTTTCATTGCGGTGCGAGTGCTCTTCGTTGTGGTGTGCGGGCTTCTCTCTAGTTGTGGCCTGCGGGTTTTCTCTTTAGGTGTGGTGTGTGGGTTCCAGGGCACGTGGGCTCTGTAGTTTGTGGCACACGGGTTCCAGAGCGTGTGGGCTCTGTAGTTTGTGGCACATGGGCTACACGTTGAGGCGCACAAACTCAGTAGTTGTGGCACATGGGCTTAGTTGCCCCGTGGCATGTGGGATCCTAGTTCCCTGACCAGGGATCGAACCCGCATCCCCTGCATTGTAAGGCAGATTCTTTACCACTGGACCACCAGGGAAGTCCCAGTTGTTTTTTTGTGTTTTTAAATCACTCAGTTTGGTCTTATATTTAGCCACATGTTGTCTTTTTTCCCCCCTGCATGATTGCCGTTAAATATGTAGATTTTACATACAGGGCTTAGTCTGAACTAAGAAATGATTAATGAAATAATTTGGTAATTGTACGGGTACCAGAAGAGATGATTAGCATGTTATGGTAGGATGTTATTGTACCTAGTGACTTGATTAGATCCACAGAATCGCTAAATTTTTGTAGTACTAAGTCTTGCTTCAGTGGGGTTCTGTTGTTTAAGAGATTTGAAAAGGAAATGAGGGTGGAGATAAAAGAAACTGGATTGGACTTGTAGTTGATTTTTAAATCTAACTCTTTAAAGTTTCCTTCAGTTATCTGGTTTCCTCTTGTATAGATGGCCAGTAATTCCTGGTGATGATCATCCGTATCTATTGAGATTAGTCTCTGATCTCCTAGTATTATAGTGAAATCAGAGAGGGACAACTTTTCCCCAGTTAAGCAAATTATTTTTTAATATTAAAAATAAACTAGGAGATTACTACTACTGTAATAATAATGGATCCAGGCTGTTCCCTTTCTTAATTACAAAGAGAAAGAGTACTTGTACAGAGGAGCAACCTGTGGACCCGATCTTAACCACAAGTCAAACTCACACAAGTCAAACACCAGGTCAAACTCACAGGACAGACTGAGTGTGTGGCTCCTGTTGTGATGCTCTGAGATGGACATAGAATCAATTCTGCAGCTTTCCTGTCTGAAAACATTTACCTCAAATTTAATCATGAGGAAACAATCAGACAAATCCAAATGAAAGGCTGTTCTACCACAAAGCTGGCCTGGGAGTTTCAGAAATCTCAGCATCAAAAAAGAGGTCCTGCCTTCCTCCTCAACAGAAAGTGCTGAGCAGCGCTTCTGGAGAAGAACTGGAAGACATGACAAGATAGTGACAAGGGACTCACCGGACAATTCAGGGAATTTTTTTTTTTTTTTTTTTTCGCGGTACGCGGGCCTCTCCCGTTGTGGAGCACAGGCTCCGGACACGCAGGCTCAGCGGCCATGGCTCACGGGCCCAGCCGCTCCACGGCACGTGGGATCCTCCCGGACCGGGGCACGAACCCATGTCCCCTACATCCGCAGGCGGACTCTCATCCACTGCGCCACCAGGGAAGCCCCAATTCAGGGAATTTTAACATTAAATAACGTACTTTTGTATTAACTATATACTGTCCTACATGTTAAGTTTCCTGGCTGTGATGATTATATTATGTTTATGAAGGAGAAGCACAGAACAAGAACCTTGTGATTTGAGGTGAAGGCTCACAATGTCTGCAAAACTACAGGCAGTGAGGGAGAGAGTGGGAGAGCACGAGTGTTCCGGCGTGGCAAACTTGACACTCAGGGAAACTAAAAAGAAATTAGGGTTTACCAGTTGGATTAGAGACTTTTTCTGCCTTCTTTCCCTCCCTCCAAAAATTTGTTGCAATTCATGGTAATTGCTTCTTTACCTGCCTTTTAAGTCTGATAATAGAATAGAAGCATCTTTTTAGAATAATTGAAGTTTTCATGAAACCCATAGAATCATTTATTTTTTGCATAATACAGTAAGTGGTGTTATAATATCACTTGTTTTTATGATAATAGTATAGTTTGACATGTAATTTTAGAGGTAAAAAATCTTAGGTCTTAAACTTTGAGTTGGATCATTCTAAGGAACTAAAGATTATAAGATCAGGAGAATGATTAGAATCATTTCTGATCATTTCTCTTAGGTTACTTAATGCTATTAATTTTTCTCTGATAAATGATTCTATTTTTCTCAGTGTGCTAATTAGGGATGTCCATGAACAGAAGCTGTGAACAGTGAGACACAGCAGGACGCTGGTGTTCATGCACATGTTGTTCCTTTAGAGTGAAATTAGAGTGCTTGGTGGTGCAGGATTGACTTTTAAACAGAATTTGGTTTTGATGTTTTCAGATAATCTTTTGAAAATATTTATCCCTAAAAGTTTATCTATATGTATATATAAATTACTTTCTGTTTCTTTCTTAGAGGAGTGAATGTCGTTCCTTTTCTAGAACTTATTGGGTTACCTGACAGCGTAGTAAACATTCTGAAAAATTCCCAGAGTGGAAATGCACTGACAGCATATGCCCTGTTTAAGGTAGGTACTGCTGTGGGTAGATGGCTCCTCACACTGAACCTCTGTAACACTCCGTGCTTGCTCCCAGGGTTACGTTTGTAACTTAAAATACCATGTTTCATCTCTTACATGTCTAATGATTAAAAGTAAACTAAAATTTTTAAGGGTAAATAAAATGGTGGTTTAGGAAGAATTGCCTTAAGAATAGGTAGGTTTTTCATAACCTGCTGTGATGAGACAAAGTGAGACTTCTGAATTTCTAATGAACAGGTTGTCTCTGTGACATTTCTCCTATTGATAGTACATTAATTTTCCTTATTCAGAGATCCACATGCCACCTGACATGTTAGTGAAATTTAGCATTTATTTTACTGTTTATAATAGTTTATCTTTCTAAAAAGTAAAATAGTAAAGTTTAATCAAATTGTTTTATGTGATAAACCTTAGACTTAGTTGTTGATGTAATGTATGTTTCATTTTGGAGTTCATTGTCTTTACAGTTGTTGTCTGGATTCAGAGAATGACATCTTTGTAAATAGATAGTTTTTACAGTTATGGGTCTTTATTTTGGAAGAGAAGACTCATATTGTAAATTGTGGAATTTAGCTATATTAATCCAATTTTTCTCAACTGACAAAAAATTAGGTTCTATGTAGCTTTATCCTAAGAAAACAGGTAGAAGAGATTGGGAAACTAGATGTTATTTTACTACTGTTATGAAAATACTTAGAATTATGGGTTTATAGTAGTATTCAAAAATAATGTTGTTTTATTCTGTCATCCTCATTAAAATCCTCTGAAATATTGGGAGATTTCTTATATGATAATTTTGACTAGAGGGCTAAAGCTTAATTGCTGAGTTTTTCAACATTAAAACTTATTAAATTAATAAGTTATCAAGTTTTTAGTTACAGTGTATATAATTTAACCTTAATCCAACTGTCATGATGGTTGAAACCATTTCCCTAATTATAACTGTTCCTTATCCCATGCTCTCATTTCACAGTCTGTGTGTTAAGTCTTTTTTTAATGTCTGTTGTCTTTGATCATGAGCTCCTAGGAATTTAGAGTTATGTCTTCTTTCTTTGTATTTCCACTGTGCCTGTGCTGTGCTCTGGAGGCACATCAGTGCTCAGTGCCTGTTGGCCTGCTTGGAATTGAAACACAAGGTTGGCACGCAGGTGGGCTGGCGTCAGCAGGGGCTCTGCTCATGTTCCTGTGCAAGGAAAGAGGTGTGGAGGGTCCACCTGGGTGTTTGGTTTCTGTAACCTGGTTTCTCAGGTAGAGCAGCAGACACTGAGGTTTCTTGCCTCAGAATGTGATGCAGCCTGTGCTCTTACAGTTCTCCCTTTGTACCAGTTCATCTACTAGTTAGTTTGGGACCTTAAACCTCTGGTCAGTTGACATGTGTACATGTCTCCTATATGTGTGCCATTTTACCACTTTTTGGCCTCATGGAAGTTCCTGGTTGGGATGCCAAGCCCAGCATGGACTGTAATGAGAAAGTAGCATAAAGCCTGGAAAAGCCAAAGAAAAGAGATTTGGAAGTGAAAGTAAACTAAACTCAGTGAAGAATAAACATTTGGCCCGTGCTTGCCCCTCAGTTTGGTTCCGGTTTAGATGAATAGTGTGTGCAGGTCGGCAGGGTTTCTGGGGAGTGGAAACGCATGTGCCTTTGTTATAGGGAGGGTCCTGAGCCCTCCCTCTGGTTCTCAGTGAGTCTGCCCCCCAGGTTCACTAGCACATGGGTACAGAACTTTGGTGCTGCCCCTGTGAATGTTCTCTAATCCTGGGTCAGTGTCTAGGTGACAAATACGGAATGTTAGGAGGGAAAACCATATAGGATGTAACAGCCTTATGAAGCAATAAAGTAATTGATAGTTTGGTTATTAACAAGAATTTTAACGTCACACTGTTTTTGCTTTAGACAACAGTTGTAATCAGTACTGATCTGTCCATTTCATTTTCCCACAGATTGCAACGCCCGCGCGGTACACTGTGACCCTGGGGGGGACCTCCTTCACTGTGAAGTATCTGCGCAGCCGTGGCTATATGTCGACACCACCCCCTGTGAAGGAGTATCTGCAGGACAGGATGGAGGAGACAAAGGAGCTCCTCACAGAGAAAATGGAGGAGACAAAGGACAGACTTACTGAAAAACTGCAAGAAACCAAAGGAAAGGTTTCTTTTAAGAAAAAAGTGGAATAGGGTGCCTTATATACCAGGTTATAGACAGTTCCTGCACTTTAACCCTTGGGGCTGGACAAAGGTACATGCTCTTGATTATTTTTTTGGTTAGCAGCCTAAATATAGCAGTTCTCTGAGGGTTAAAGAACTAAGATAACTTTTTAAAGTTGAACATCACTAGAAAAATCAGTGTTTTTTGAAAAGAAAAAATGAACCCAGTATAAGAATTTCATGTCAGTAGCAGCGTTAAGCAGTGGTCCATGTCTTCAGTCATCCTTGCTTTGTGTTTAGATAGCTGCTGACTCCTTGAATAGCTGGTGCGGCCCTACACAGATTTAACACTAGGTCTTCATCTTTTTTGTTATTTGAGGTTTTAACGATATTCACTTTTCAATGTGGAGACAAATTGTTATCATCAGAACTGCCTGTGAATAAGAGGATGTTTAGTCTTTCTCTAAAGATAGTATATAACGGTTACATACCAGTTAAAATGTAGACTTCATATAAAGAAAGCTGAATGAAAATTGGGTCATATATATGTAAATAAGATGTATTGGTTATATGTAAATGAAAAATTGACCCTTTAAAAATGATTTTTACCTGAAGCTTGCCATAATCAAATTTTTTAAGCAAATCTGTGCGGTCATAGCACTTTCTCACCCAGAATGTAAAACTGTTATTCCTGCATCATGTCCTCTCCAACTGATCTCTCAGAGGAAAAGGGAAAATCATCACACCTTAAGTTTATGGTGGAGATCAGATACGCTTAGCAGTGCCTGCAGCTGTGGTTCTCGGCAGTGCAGGTTTGGGAGGATGGGACCTGCCTGTCCCTGCCACCTGGTCTCCACCAGCCAGAGTCGGTCTTGATTCCATTATGCAGTAAAATTTTAAGATTGTAGGCTGCTGTTTTCCTCTTGCATTGAAACATCCTTACTTGAGCATTTTACTTGAATTTTTTAAATAGCAAACTGTCATTAAAACCTGCTTGGAATGAAATTCAGTTGTTTTCAGATGTGAAAGTTGCCACAATTTGTGTGGGTGTGTTTGAGGATGTGTTTGTGTGTTTCCTTTTGCTCTAACTGCCTTTACTTCAGTTCTAACCTTTGAGTTGAAAGAGGGAACGGCCTCTTTCTAGATTGTCTTTGTTGTGAGTGATCTGATAAGGCCGCAGGCATCACTGCTGTGAGGCAGGGTTTTCGTATTAAATACTGAGTTTGGCCAAATTTAGAGAATACTTTAAAGGGAAAAAAATGTTTGCATTTGATATGTCTCATCATTATATTGGCTGTGCTGTGGTTGGACTCTTCTTTGTGGGGGTGGGTAGAGTGGTGAGGGGGCAGGGCTCACTCTGCCACATGCAGGCCCGATCAGGCAGGATGGTTTGTCTCCTGATACAGATCAAACGTGTGATTTCAAATTGACAGCACATTTTCAAATTCAAAAACAGTGAACATGTTTTAGCTTGTTTATTAAATAATTCACATTTTTGCATATATTAAATGCTAAGATGGATATTAACAAATTTCTTGTTTGTTTATTTTTAACCACTGAGACTGCTCGGTTTAAAATCATGTGTTACATGAAACTTTCTTTTTACTTTTCACATTGCATAGGGCGTGTTTTCCAATGAGGATAAATTGTGGGTCTTTAGAAGCACTAATAACCCTGAGTTTCCACCTTTGGTTCAGCCTGTTTGAGATTTGTTGCCATTCAGTTTCATAATTGTGTTGTGTTTGTCCAGTTACAGAAAGTGAGATAATAGGGAGTGCTTTGAAATTCTCTAGTAAAACATTCTCTGAAGGTGTAAGAAGTTCTTTTGTCATTATTTGGTATCAGGAATATCTGATCTTGTCAAATGCTGCTGCTCTCATCTTGCTAACCTAGTCCTTAAGGGAAGCTACAAAGAGCCGAAAGGGGGACCCCTGGAATATGCGTGTGGAGTATTCATAGCAGGCCAGCAGCACATAGTGGGCATTGAGTTAAATTATCCGGGTGTGTGTGTGTGGTAAATATCATAACCGTTTCATTTACAATAAGCCTTATACTTGCTGTGTCTGGTGTGCACATCTGTATTTAAGTAGGATTTTTGACAGGGTAAAGACGGAGCCATGGCTGAGATTTAATTTAACACCTATAAAATAGATAAAAAGTGTTTGCTCAGCAAATTAACAATTGAAATGAAAAATAGATTAGGTAAAAAAAGACTTAGTTTATTCAAGAAAAATAGCAAAACCAACCTTTTAAAGTACCACAAAAATGTCTCTTACTGAACCAACATTTTGCATACAGTAGGGTGCTATTTGCAGATTCCAACAAAGGAGAAAGAGTTCATGTATTAAGGTCACCTTCCTGCCACTAGTAAAAATAATAAAACTATGCCTTCAAATATAATCTTCAGCTTATTTGTTATAGAATCTGCCTTCCATTTATTTACAGATGGAAGACGTTACTGTAGTCCTTTATGCTCTAGGAAGCAGTGGAGCTATTGGCTGTCTTATTTCAGTGACCTCAGAAGGTAATTCCAGGAATTTTATAAACATCTTAACAGTTTGGGCAGAAGAGGTGTTTGAAGAAAAGAAGCAAGTTGTACGTTAGACATATCTAGCTCTTGTGTTCTTTCCACTTGGTTCATCTTCAGGATTTCTTATCCAAATTCAGATGTTCTGAACAAAGCCACTGTAGAAGATTGTAGAGTATGGTGATGGTAATGAAATGGACAGAAAATGTTTTAGCAAATGAGTCAGAAAGAGTACGTGCATCTTTCCTGATACCTTTGAGATGATACCATTTTTATAAAATGCATTGGTGAGATATACATTTCTGAATTGTTAAAGGATTCTGTCTGAAAAATACTTGCTTTCATGGTAATATAGACATATTTCTTCTGTTGGCTACGTCTTACTTTTTAAAATGGGGACCTTCATTTATTTCAGATTTTCAAAATTGAATCTCCATAGGGAAGATATGGAGTTAGTTTAGAAGAAAGTAAAATACATTTAGATTAAGTGTTACCAACATTGGTTTGAAGTGGTTTTTGGTATTAGATGCTTACTCAGTGGGCTTTTCCCAAGCCATGGTCTACGGTGCGTCCAGTCACATTGGCCTAGAGGCCGGAGTTGCACAGGAGTGTTCATAAAAAGTATGGGCCTCTCTACTGCCTTGGAATTTAACCACCTGAACCAGAAATCTGCAGAACCAGAGGTGGGTGCTTTTAATTATTCATTCCGCAAATAGGAGCTTTGTTTGGTCTCTCCTGGTCCATCTGTATATTACGGAGTACCTAAAAGATTCTGCCTCCTTGACCCAAAGGAACAATAGAGGCAAGAATTCTCCTTCTCTTAGAGACTTGGCCAGAATTTGTCTTCAGCCGTGAATTTTGGCCTGGCTTTCTGATTTTTGAAAGATATTTGTCCTGCATTTTGAGCTTGTAACTTACATTTGAGAAATGCTAAGTTTGTGCCGATTGGGTATAGTTTTCCCTCTGAGATTTTTTTCCTTTGTGACTTCCATGTCAGGCTGGTTCATTTTAACTCATTAAAACAAGTTTTTGGTTGTCTTGCTTCTTCGGGGTTAGGCTTTGAAAATCAAGCTCTATTCTTCCCCGTAAATTGCTGGCAGCCACCAACAGTAATGATGACAGATCATAATTATCTTGTGGCAGTTATCTGGCTATTTTGATAAGAATGATTCTCTCAGCAGAGAGAATGTGGCTTGACTTCAGAAGCCTTCAAGGCAGAGTATGACATTATTCCGCTGACTTGGATAGTGCTCGTGGGAAGTGCACAGGCAGCCCCAAAGTCCTCCTCAGCACTTGTGTTTTCTCTCTACAAGTAAGAGGGCTCATGGAGCCTGAGATGAACAGAAAGCACTTTCACGTTGTGTTTTCTCTGGGACAGCATGGTCCATAAGAGCAGAAGTTGTAGGACAGGTCAGAGATGTTCCACGTGTAGCCACAATATATTCTCATTCTTCCTGGCTGTGAGGTATGCATAGAACCTTTCTTCCTTCTTTCCTCACCTCTCCCTCCCTCCCTATGTCCAGCTTTTTCTGCTTTGAATTTTGACCATTTTAAATGGTAGAAAACTCTCTTTGAAGTGAAAAAGAAAAATGCAAGTTTGCATGCAAGCGTGCCTGGTTGTCCTGCGGTAGCCGGTATGTGGTTCTCCCTCCCTCTGGTGGGCAGGCGCTATGGCCCACTCCTTAGTAAGAGCGGGACAGAAAGCTTGCAGGTGTTTCCTGACTTTCTAATCAGGTACCTGCTGAAAGTCAGCCTTTTACTCCATTTGGGTAATTTCATAAGATTACTTTTAAGTGTACCATATATGAAATATATCTAATATAATCTACATGAAATCTACCTAATATAATCTAAATAGGGTAAAACAATGAGATGTTTCAGCTCCTTAACACTAATTGAGGGTTTGTTTGTTTTTAAAAAAAGAACATACAGCATTTCCTCTATATACACAAATATTAAGCTGTTATTTTGTATGCACCTCTAAGTATGAGATTTGAGATTCTGTAATGATTTGAAGCGCATTTTGACTAATTTGTATTTTATTGAGTTTGAGTCAGTATTTTCTTTGGATACAATCTTGCGACTTAATTATGGCTGTTGCTTTACTTCTCTAAGAATAGTGGCTGTTTGGGTTCTCTCTTTGCAAGGGTCCCAAAGGCACAGTTTGTCCAGTCCTCAAACACTGACTGCCCTGCCATTCACCTTGGTCTGGAGGTAGAGTTACAGGGCTTGGTTGCCATCGTGCTCCATCACCATGTGCTTGTTATTCCCCTCCTGAAAAAGATGGAAGATACTGGTAGGTTGTAATTGCATTCCTCACTTCTTTTGGTTTGGAAATAAGGGACAAGTTTTACTTTCCAAAAAAAGTTGAAAATATTATTATCAGTAAAACACTTGTCCACAAAACCTAATGCAACTTCTGTTGAGAAATCTAGATCATTTTGTAACTGCATTATTTTGGAAGCATTTTAGATTAATAGAAGTTTTCTCAGTCATAAACCCAATTTTCCCTCTAGTGGGTCACTTCAGAATGTTGAGGCCAGTAGCTGTAGTTGAAGAAAGGCACAGGAGAGCCGGGTCAGACGTTCAAATCCAGGAACTAAGAAAGGTAAAGTAAGTACCTGCTTTGGAACTTGTAAAATTCTTTGTATTTTTGGAGCTGAAGCCAATTTATGAATATTCCTAATCCTCTGTCCTCTTCTGGTGACTTCTATCATCTTTTCCCTTTTAACTTCATAATTTTCTTTTTTTAAATAAATTTTTATTTGTTTGTTTGTATTGGCTGCGTTGGGTCTTCGTTGCTGCACACGGGCTTTATCTAGTTGCTGTGAGCAGGGGCTACTCTGTTGTGGTGCTTGGGCTTCTCATTGCAGTGGCTTCTCTTGCTGCGGAGCACGAGCTCTAGGTGTGCGGGCTTCACTAGTTGTGGCTTGTGGGCTCAGTAGCTGTGGCTCACGGGCTCTAGAGCGTAGGCTCAGTAGTTGTGGTGCACGGGCTTAGTTGCTCCGTGGCATCATAATTTTCTTTAATTCTTTCTTTAGAGAGATATTTCATTATCCAAAGAGGATTCAGCCTCAGAAAATACCCCATCCTCCCGTGGTAAGAAAGTGAGTTTGCTTTTCCTACTGAACTTGTGTGGAGGGTCATGGTGGTGGTCACAGCACCTGAGCCTGCATTTGCGACACTTGGAACAGCTCAGATTGGAATTTTCCTTTTCCTTGGGGTCAATCGATGGAACATCTGAAGCATCAGGAGCTGGCTTTTGTGGTTACTTTTCTCACTGGGAAGTTCAGTGTATCCCCGACTAAGAACTGTTAGACTGGCCTCTCTGGGAGTGGAGAATGTGTGTGCGGGAGGTTTACGGGAGGTTGACAGTGAGGCAAAACCATGTGCTCGTGGATGGTTCTGGAAGGAAGGGAGTGTGCCAGCATTGGTGAAGAGGATGCATACGTGGTACAGGATCCCGGCACCAGGAGCCTGGGGTCCTTGCGGTTTCCTTGAGGCTGTGACAGCGCTCAGATCAGTGTTAGCTCCCCCACCCCTCACAGAAAGGAAGCCAGAGAAGGAAAAAATGGGGGCAAGGTGGGAAGTTATTTTTTTAAAACTATTCTCCCTTCAGATTTTCACATTTTATTGCTAAGGTTGTAAGAACACTCCCCGACACACACACAACATGGTTTTTTAACCAAAAATACTGTCCACATCTAGAGTAATGAGAAAAGAAACAGATGTATTTTACTTAAAACCATGGTGAGGAGGTTTGGGTCCTGGTGGTTCAGTCTCTGCCTTGACACAGGTGCTCCAACCCCCTTGGCACTAACTTGGCCCGTTTCCGTCACTGGCATTTTAAGCTGCAGTGTTAGCGTAGAGAGCATGCCAAGGCAGAGTGCTATTTACAAGTCTGTAGGAATTGGGTGAACCTGGAAAGTGAAAGCTGAGCAGCACAGCTCCCTCTGTGGGGGCCGCATGTGGCAAGCACACCCTCTCCTCCAGTCTTCGCGCAGGTGACCCTGTTGTATGCGTGACATTTGAAGACATTAACCTGAGACAGAGCTAATACTTGAGGCCACCAGGTCTGTAGGCTCCAAAGCCTGTGCTGCCCTTGAACTGTAAGCAGGAAATCTCAAGCAGGACTTCAGGGTCCCCCACCGAAGCCAGGGTGGCAGACACAGCCTGGCTCAGGTGGGGCCAAGGGGATGGGTCCCTGGCCTGCCACGTGGGAGAGGCCAAAGTCAGCACTTTGATTTGAAAGCATGCTTACTCTGTCTGCTAGTGTAGACTGCTAGAATATTTTGTGCTTCCAGATTCTGGTGGTAGTACCACAGTAAACTCTATAAATGCAAATGGCTTTGTAAACAGGTTAAGTCATATAGGAGCAGTATACTATACACAAGTGTGTGTAAATGTATATATACTGTTTCCTGGTAAAGCCTTTTGAAAGTCTGTATTGCAGTTAACACCATGCTGTGTTCAAATGACTAAGACTGTAGCTTTTGATTTTTTTAAAGTAAGGTGAATGAGGTTTACATTATTAGCACAAAAGCCCAAAGTCTGGACAGACACATGCCATCAAAACAATGAAATTTACAAATGCACAACTTTTACCTTTTTGGCTGTTATTTTTAAAACATGTATTTTAATTAGAATCCATTCAAAGCAAAACGTCAAAACAGTGTAACGAGAGAAATTATGATGTTTTAAGTAACAGGCTCGTTATAAACTGTTTTGTGCAAGTGTCATCATGGAGAGTCAGAAATAAGTGTTTGTTCCAAGGCCACTGTGAGTGGCTCTCTGAAGGATTCTGGAGGTTTCTTTCGAGCACACTGCTTTTCTAGATGTCCTCGAGGGTGCAGGGAGAGGGCTGCCTGAGTTGCTAGTCCATCTTAGCTGTTGGCAGCTCTGCTGTTTCACAAACGATCCAATGAACAGAAGTTGGTCCAAGAAAGCCAGAGACTGGTGGGGTATGGGATCCGGTGCAGGCCCTGAAGTGCAGTGGGGGCTCCCCATGTACCAGGTGGGTCAGCAGGGAACCTATCGCCAGGGAGGGAGGTGTTGGCCTCTGTTATGTCCTGTGCTGAGTGTAGCCTGAGCAGAAAACAGTGGGTCCAGACCTTGGCGTCTCTCTCCCTGGCTGGCGGTGCCTCGGCTTTTGAGGGCCCACGGGGGCTCCTTGGCCTTTGGCACTTCAGCTCCAGCCTGATGGACAGCTCCTGGGTCACGGGCAGCCTCCAGGCCTATTGTCTGTTTTTGGCCTGGGGCTTCTTCTGAAGTCTTCAGAGCCTTCTCAGTGCACAGCCAGGGCTGTGGGAAGGGGTCCCACAGGCCCCCGACAGTGGAGATCAGTGTCCCGCCTCCTGTCCTGCAAGAGTGCAGTCTCTGGTTTCTCAGCGCCACACTGAGCCCCGCTGCCCAGATGGACACCAGTGGGCCCACCCTGACCATCTCCTGCCTCCTTCAGAGCAGCTCCAAGTAACCTCCCTGCACCCAGACCCAGCCAACCAGGCGACCTCATATAGAAATGGGTTTACTGAACCCAATCCAGTAGGAATCAAGCCTGGAATCTCCTCTCCTTCTGTGACGAAAGTTTATACTGGTCTTACCTTCACTGAGGGATATAAGTTTGGGGAATATTCTTTAAAATTTCTCAAATATCTGCTGAATAAGAGATTATAGAATTTATTCAAGAGCATAATGTGGTTTATCAGTGACTATTTGCTGTTTTAATAGAAAGAAATCCTTTTCTTACAGCTATTTTCCTCCTTATAGCTTTCTAATCCCCTTTCCAAAATTGTCTTAAAAAATTAATTCAGAATCTAAAATGGGTTTTATGGGAGCTCCTTGGTGGTCCAGTGGTTAGGACTTGGCGCTTTCACTGCCGTGGCCCAGGTTCAATCCCTGGTCAGGGAACTAAGATCCCACAAGCTGCGCGGTGTGGCCAAAAAAAAAAAAAAAAAGAACGTTTTATAACTAGAGTTTGGGGCCCATACAGTTATTTAAATGGTATTTTAAGATTTCAGTTTCCAAAGTTCATTTGTTTCCACAGTTCATTACTAACATATAGAAATGCAAAAATATTTTATTTGTATTTCCTGTAACCAAGCTAAACTCACTTATTCTAGTAGTTTGGTAGGTTGTATGAAGTGTTTTTTTGTTTGTTTGTTTTGGGTTGTTTTTGCGGTACGCGGGCCTCTCACTGCTGTGGCCTCTCCCGCCACGGAGCACAGGCTCCGGACGTGCAGGCTCAGCAGCCACGGCCCACGGGCCCAGCCGCTCCGCGGCACACGGGATCCTCCCGGACCAGGGCACGAACCCGCGTCCCCTGCATCGGCAGGCGGACCCCCCAACCACTGCGCCACCAGGGAAGCCCTGTATGCAGTTTTATACATTCACAGTTATGTAATCTGTGAATCCATATACTTACTTAGAGCTTAGAGATATCATTCTAATCTCTCAGTGAAGGAAACTTAAATTCCTTTTGCTCCATCATCACGAACTGAAAACCTCTGATGCCAATGACCTTATTAGCCTCTGAGGGTGTCTGCTGAACAATTCTCTTTAGAAGTCTTGCTCACGTTTTGGGCTGAGTTGACTCAGTTTGTCTGTGACAGCTTCCAGAAGCCTGAAGGTGACACCTCAACTCAGGTGACGATCCCTGAGTGTTCTGTGTAGAACCCAGAACTGTATGATGTGATCTGCCAGGGTTTATAGCAAATATAATGATTTCTGAAAAGTCAGAGTGAGTAAGAACTGAATGGGACGGTTACCTGGGGAACCGTAAGAACCGTTTCTGAGACGGGTTTTTAAATGCAAGTAGTTTTCCCCCCACCCCCCAACATATGCTTTGTCTGTGAAATATTTTTTTAAAAAAACAGGAGACACGTGTATCAGTGATCTTTTTTAATGATTTTGAGCTGTGGTTCGAACACAGCATTAAGAACAAGCAGAAGAGGCTGATTTCATAACACACAGCACTTAGAGCAACATCTTCCTTTAAAAGTCTGGATTGCGGTTACAGACTTTGGGTCTAAGAACTACATCCTCTCGCTCAGTTAAAGAGGCAGATACATGACAGCTGGAAATCTTTCTCTGTGTATAAGTGGGAATTATGTTGAACAGTAAGCACAAATGTCTGTTTAAAAAAAAGACTTTAACAACTTCAGATTATTATAGATCACGTGAACAACTGTTGAAAAGTTCAGATAAAGTTGTACTTTTTCATTATAAAGCAGCCTAGTGAAAATTAAGTGAATTAAATGCTATGAATAGTATTGTACATATTTAAAAATAGCTTTTACACCAGAAAGTGATTTTTGAAAGCCATGAAATGAAGAATAGCAATATACCAGCAAGCACATTAAGATGAACCAGTATAATTAACAGTAAAGTTTAAGCCTCTATTAGTCCTGTAGAAAAGCCATGACGTGGTAACAAATTTAGTGCCTTTGAGTCCAGAACGTCCTCAGATGACACTCCTGCTTAGCAGTCCTCCCAAGAGATGAAGCCTGGGGGAGTTTTTCTAACAGGGAGGAGCCTCCACCCTTGACCTGAACCACCAGGGCCACTGCCATTGGCAGTGAGCAGACAGCGGGGGCAGTGGGTACAGAAAACACAGATCCCCATCTTCTTGTGGCCTTGCAAAGCACAGTCAAAGAAGGGCTGACCTCTGGTCCATTAGCATCAAGAGTTGCAGAGGTGTTTTCAGTTTAAGGATAATCAGTAATTGTTTTGTGGAGGACAAGAGTATGACTCCGTCGTGATTCTCAAAATCAAAACATACACCATGGAACAAATAAAAAACAAGGAATTATTAGAATTTACATCCTCTGATGACAGAATAAACTGGAAATAGGGATCAGGTGGGCAGAATTTCACGAAACTGGATGGCACTGGGAAGGATGCCCACACCCACGATTTCATCCACGGTTTTGTGGTTTTTTTGGGGGGGTTCGCGGGCCTCTCTCACTGTTGTGGCCTCTCCCGTTGCGGAGCACAGGCTGTGGACGCGCAGGCTCAGCAGCCATGGCTCACAGGCCCAGCTGCTCTGTGGCATGTGGGATCTTCCCGGACCGGGGCATGAACCCGTGTCCCCTGCATCGGCAGGTGGACCCTCAACCACTGCACCACCAGGGAAGCCCCTCATCCATGGTTTTAATGAACATTGTCATAGGCTCTTCATTTTTCAATATTAGAATATTTGAAGATAAATGCTGAGGTCACCGTCAGACACTAAAGACAGAGCTGTAAGTAGATGCTGAGTCAGGGGGTGTGACATGGTCCCTGGTCAGTGGCAAAGCCTAGTTTGTTTCTGGGGTCGTAATCACCAGGAGACACCAAAAGGAAGGGACAGGACATAAGAATTCACTCGGCTGGCTGATTGCCAATCTGCTAATTATAACCCATAACAAATCTTTCTGAGACTGGGGTCTTCTCAAGTGGACTGGTTTGTCCTAAGTTATTTTTCCTGCAAATGCTACTGTTCATTCATTGGTTCCACAGCTTCCGTTTGTCAAAAAGGCACAGAAAGACAGATGGTCACAAATGCGTCTGGACTGCACAGTCCTCTGCTGCACGCTAATGTGCTCACTCTGACCTAAGTTTTGCAATTTCAGTGAAAAGTGCACTCTTCACTGGGTTTGCCCTCTTCATTCTACAACATGAAACAGAATATTTTTTCATAAAGCAAGTTGAAAGATCCACATTTTTTTCTGATTATAGCTAATACTGGTCCAACTGAACATTATCGAAGGGATTAAAATAAGCATCTGGTGGCTCCAAAAGGCTGTGGTATTTTAAAAAATTATTTCTTAAGTGTTTTCACAGCAAAGATGCAACTCTGATTGCTGTACATATGTTGTTCATAGGCTGTGCTTGCCTGTTCAGACTTGTTTCCCTTGTGTTATAATACTGATATTTATTAATAAACTACATAGACTTTTATCTGTATGCATCCATTCGCACATTTCCTTATAAAAGAGGACAAAGCACATAGGCATTCACAAATTCTATGCCATTTCTCTTAAAATTGGTATCTATACCTTATATTGCAGTATTAACAAAGTTTTGTTCTACCCATTGGGTAGGATTATGTGCGTAATATAGTCAAGTTATATACAGCACCTTACAAATGAACGCCTGACAGACACTGAAAGCACCATTGTGAGTGAGGCACAACAAAGGGGGCTGGGTTCCTGCATCTGCAGAAGTTAGAACATGAAACACCTTGGCTGCTTAAAAACTACTGCCACGCTGAGCTCTATGAAAGGACGTGGATCTTCACCATCTGCATCTCTGTACAGCTCTCACCCCAGCACCTCACACACACTGAGGACAGCGCTGCTCACAAGGCGTCCCTCCCTGCACACCAGCCTGAAGGCAGGAGCAGCAAGTGGCCGTCTAACCCTGGCCGTGAACATAAACTTGAACTGTGCAAGATGCAGCACTTGGGGAGTAAAATAAGCTAAAGCTGAAATCCTGATTCCTGCGGAATTCGCACAATTCAGGTGAGCTACTGGGACCCACTTGTGGTCGGGGTGAGTGCAGGTCTTTCATCTGCTTTTGTTGGGCCCCTTTAGACACAGCGTCCTTACACTGGGGGGGACTTGCCAATGCATCTCCATTTCGCCAAGGCCAAGGTGACCGTGCAGAAGGGGAGCCTGGTCCCTGCTTCTCCACCGGGGTGGGGGTGGGGGGCTGTCACCGCAAGGCCCCACGCCCAGCACAACTATCTTGCCTAGTTTTTCCTTCACAGACACTGCTCAGCTCTGGAAATTTTAAGAAAAATGAACCGTACACTAACATGTTGCTGTTCTAAGCAGCAGACCTCAAGCAGCAGCCTTGGCACAGCAAACACAAGGCTTGGGGAACAGCCCCTAGCCGCTGCCTCGCAGCCAGGCCAGTGTGGGAGCCTGGTGGCCAGCAGCAAATGGAAGCTGCTTTGGAGGGGCTCGTGGACCTGGACAGTCTCTGCAAGGACTCTCTGGACAGAAGAGCAGGTGGAGGTAAGATCCAGGCCCACCTGTCAGGATGCAGCCACTGGTTCTGAGGAGGGCGGGGATTTGAATGGATTCTCCCAGATCTGAGCTGCTTTCGAAAAGTGCTTGCCTTTGAGCCCTTCTCATTCTTATGATGATAAAATACAGGTGAAGAGGGGGATAATTTGAAGCTGGAGACACGCTTATCTGAGTACAGGTCCCTATGCTGGGGTAGAAGGCCCCCCGCTTCCTGCTGGCCCCTGTGTCCTCCTCTCCCAGCTGCAATTAGTGGACTTAAGTGTCATCCTCGTGACAAACCTTCCCAAGTTTTGCACATTTTCCTCTGCTGTCTGAGCTGTGTGTCCACGTGTATTTGTGGTACGGAGGACAGAGGGTATATGCTTGTCAAGCTTTTTTAACACTGAATTTTGGTCCCAGATAGAACTTCGTGTTGGGTTGGCCAAAAAGTTCGTTCAGGTTTTTCTGTAACATGGAAAAACCTGAACGAACTTTTTGGCCAGCGCAATAAATGCACAATTTCTTCAGCAAAATCTCTTTTGTAGTAAAGGACAACCTTAGTGTCTGAGGAACACTAGGCTTGCTGAAAAAGCCAACAGACACATGAGTGTTCCTATAAGTGGGACTCAAGGTGCCTGGGGTTCATATCCAGGGAGTCGCTAAGACGATGGAGCCCAGCTCCCCACCCACTGCTCACTGATCCCCTAACCCTCTGGTTTCTAACCTGGACCCTCAGGCCCCACTGATCAAGCTGCAGCTTCACAGTCACGCCTCTTTCCACACCATGTCAGCCACAACCTTCGAAAAAGCAGAGGTCTAAATTACCTTTTTCCTGTGTTGAAGGGAAATTGACTATTAATTCAATTTATGACCTTGGCTTTTAAACTAATTCATTACAGAGCCCCAGCCTCAGAGACCATTCAGGTCATGGTTTGATATGTCTGCATCATTAAATAACTATTTACATTAGAGGCAATTATCTAATAGGGTGGCCAAAAGGGAGCAGTCTCGGTTTTGAAGAACAATTAAAGTTATTTGAATTAAATAATTGTTTTACCAGTACTGTGAACATCTGCAAAATGTTCAGGTGCTTGCAAAGTGACTAAGGAATTTATAAGTTTCTAAGCATAACTCACCATTTTGAGCTAGAACTACTGGGTGTGTTCACCCACTCTACCAGAAGTGCAGGTGAGGTTTGGAATGATGACACCATCAGCCAACCTCCTCATTCTGCACCTAAGGGGAACGCCTGACCGATAATCTGCCCGAAGATGGGGAGGACAGGCAGTTTCCCACCTTCACCAGCAACACAAGGGGAAACCTCACGCCACGCAGAGTCCCAGCCTCCTTTAAGCACAGGCTTGAGGTCGAGGCCATCTGATACGGTGGGTGGGTGGGTGTCCTCTGGTCAGGCCCCCAGGACTCTGCCCGTCCCAGAGCTCCTGCCATGGCCCTCAGCGTGCACACTGCTCAACAGGGTCTGAAGCATGAGTGACAATTGTTGACCACCATTTTCTTTTAAGAGATTGACTACTTGTGTGGATGTTACTGTGTGAAATGGATGAAGATTCCAGTTCTCCAAACAAAACACAGGGACCTACCAACCAAGAGGAGCCTTGGAAAGGAGCAGCAGAAAGCAGTTTGAGAGCTTTCTGCCAGCAGCACGAGGGCACCTCACCGGGCAGCCACCTCCGAGACCACAACAGCAGACACCCGGAACTGCAGGTCAGGGTCCCAAGTCATCCCTCCAGCCCTCGGTCCCTGTGAGAGCAGGCAGGGGCTGCACAGAAGCACCCCACCCGGGTGCAGCAAAGGCAGATGCTTCTGTGAAGGAAGTTACTTTAGGTGAGAATGAATGTTACAATAATTAAGGTTAGTTTTCTAGTTGATTTTAGCTGCAAGTTGTGCTTTTTACCCTGTGCTCTGAGTTGCTCCCCGCCCAGTTCTGGCCTCCACTGCAGAGGCTTAGTGACCCCTGGGAGCGCATCTGGTTCTGAGCACTGCATTCCTCCCGGGTGCTGGTTCGCATACTTGGCCACATGGGTCCCTTCCTCAGTCCCAGGGGCTTCTACACAGTATCTGCAGCCAGTGTCACACACATAACAGGGCGGTGGGCTGCACAGAAGCGACTGCTGAGTCTTGTTGACCAGCCATCCAGGCCTGAACTCCACTATCCAGGCAAGGAGAGACCGCAGGAACACACTGAAGTCATGTGTTTCAACAGTATAAAAATAGCCACCTTGCATTTTAAACAATTTATTGCATAAAATAGTGTATTATCTGAGTATATTTCATGCTACAGTGAAAAAAATCTAAATTACCACAGAAACTGCACTGCTGGAGGGCCAGGGCAGCACTGCGTGGTGTGTAAATGCAGGTGTAAAACACGCAGCCTGAGGCTGGAGGGACTCAACACACCAGGGATGCAGGAAGTTTCCTCTGCTCCATCCAGTCTCCAGGTGCCTCAGTGACGCATTCACTGCTGTGTGGTGACTTTCTTGGTGAATGTAAGTAAGTGGTGTACGTTAGGCTACCTCCCCTGACACCCTTTCCTGCATGATTATGGGGGAGATGATTATGGGGCCTAATTTTAATCCACAGGTGAAAAGACAACATACAGAACTTCGAGTAAAGCTTCCTCATTATCTTAAACATGAAGATAGTGCAACTTTTAAAACACAGCATCACAACACTGATTAACCCCTTGCATTCATCTGACTTCTCCACTTTATACCTTGGCACACAAAACAGGAATTTAGAATCATATTTTTAAAATAAAAAAGTTCCACAGTTTAGGGGTGGGAAGCAAACTGGCGATTCTTCCCCATAATGTATAACAACATTTTCCTCTGTATTCAGTTAATTGTAAAACAGGCCATTCTGGCCTCTTCCCCTGCTGCGTCTGCTTTCATAGTCAAGTCAGATGCCTCTGTGGGTTTTATTTCATAATGTCTTCAAAGCACCCCTTTGTGTTCTCATGCCCACCCTTTGCCAAAACCTGCCCTTTCCTATCACTGCCCCAGATGAACACCGTTTGCGGCCAGACTGGAGGAGGTTTGTACTATTTCAGCCTGCGTGCGGCTCCTGTGGAAGGAATCATTGTTTTACTGAACTTGCTGTGCTGGGGACGGAGGAGCAGTGCCACCGCCTCCCTCCTCCTTTCTTAAGTCAGGTATGCACGCAGGTCAGATGAGGTTCCCGGGCTTCCTGTCCTTGCCCTGAACGGGCAGCTTGGTGCCCCCCAGGGCCGTCCCGCTGGAGTGGCAGTCTGCTCCCCCTGTGCGTGCTGTGCTGGGGGTGGAAGAGAGTGGCACCCAGGCAGTGGCCCATCACCTCGCTGTAGGCCGGGGGTGGCCCCTCCATCCTCCTGTTACTGCTGCAGGTGCTGGCACTTATGCCTGAATTGCTGCTGGGTGGGCGTGGGCCCCCGCTGTAGACGGACATGTCTATCAAATCGCTGTCAAATATGGTTCGGTTGGGTGGGGCCCTCACAGACTCTCGGTTGAGTTCCATCTGCTGTTCGGGGTCCCGGAGCTGCAGGGTGCAGGGCCCCTGGTAAGGAGGCGGCTCCTCCCCGTCCGACAGGGAGATGGTGGGGGGAAGGTCGATCTCGTGCTGCACGTAGGGGTAGGTGGGCTGGAAGCGGCTGAACCGATCCCTCTGGAGAAAGGTTGGGGCAGTCCCCCCATTCCTGGACCGCGGTGCGTACATGATCTGCAGGGAAGAGAGCAACACCTGGGAGATGTTCTTGGCACAGTGATGACCACGGACGTGATGGCAGCAAGGAAATTCACGTCTGTTCTCACCCATCTGAAAACTTTTCCCCCCAAAACACATGTAAAGGCTATTCCAGAAAAACAGGTTTTTCGTTCCTAATGACTTTACAGCACTCACCTTGCCAAACCCAGGACGGTTCAGCAACGGATAATTGTGGTTACCTGAAAATGTAGGTTTAATGGAGTTATTGTGTACATTTCCCACTGGTCAAGGAGAACACAGGAGCCCCCCCACCCCCACCCCGGCCTGCCCACCATGTGACCTTCTCTGGGCCCCACTCCTGTGATTCAGAGGAGTATAGAGGGTGAAGAATTTTCATTGTAAATGTAAGTTGTAACTTCACAGGATGGTACTTGGAGCAGGTACAAGACATTGGGTCAATTTATGAGTTATTTATAGGAGCTGTTGCCCTATCAATTACTTAAAAATATGAAACAAGTGACTTTCTGGATAAAAGTTTCCTGTAGTTATTTTTAGCAACTGACATGAAAACTATTTTATATTCCAAAGTAAGTATAATTATACTTTTTCCCCCCAAAAGAATCCAGGTACTCTCTTGCATAGCTTCTCATCTATTCCACCATCTCACTTTCTTCTAGAGGAAGGACATATGTATATAAAGATATACATCCATCTGTCAACTTCTCTCACACCATGTTTTTAACTTAAAGGCAAAAAATGTTATTTTTACAATCATACTATTAAACTGGGAGATGGGGTGAATCAAGCGGTGATGTTTATAAGCTACACCGACAGCCACCACCTCATTATCAGCAGCCTAAGGCATCAAGTGAAGATCCTGGATTCTCGACCTGTTTTCTGGAAGGAGCTCTGGCCAGGCACAAAGAATCCTTGGGAGAGTCTAGGGAAGACCCCTCCCGCACGTCTTAAACCAAGTTACAGGCACAGGCCTTGATCTTCATCTGTGCTGACATGTTCAACCCTTCCACCAATTTTGTTCATCCCCCTCTATGCATCTCCTGCCACCCACACCCCACCTGTGTCCAACCCCTTACCTCTGAGGTGGGCCGAGGTCCAGATCTGTCTGAAGGCCACAGGCGCCCTTCCTGGTTGGGGGGTGGGGGACATCACAGGAAGATCATTAGTTTCATGCAGCAGCACCCAAAGCCAAGGGATCACACTCAGCTGAGCGCAGGCTGTTTAACACCCGGAACCACAAAGCCCCAGCCTTTTGTTACCTGCACCCCCAGAGGAGTCGTGGCCACAGGAAAGTCAAACAGTTTGGGTCTCCCCACAGTAGCCTTGAATGGTGTGCCCATCTACACCGCTGGCTTTCAGACTGAGTTTCCCAAACCTAAGAGCCCTCTGTGCATCTTCTTATGAATTGATTCCTCAGTACAAATGCTCACGAGGAGTGTGGAACCTGACATCTAGTTGCTTAGTAATCTTTCAAAAATGTTTGGCCAGGGACTTTGCTGGCGGTGCAGTGGTTAAGACTCCATGCTCCCATTGCAGGGGGCCTGGGTTCAATGCCTGGTCAGGGAACTAGATCCCACACGCTTGCCACAGCTAAGAGTTCGCATGCCACAGCTAAGGAGCTGACGAGCCACAACTAAGGCCCAGCGCAACCAAAAAAAAAAAGCCAGACCAGCAAGGTGATGAGCAAACAGTAGGCATGATTAAGGATCACTTCTAACACCATAAACTTGTCTACAGAGCATTTCAGTGTGGTATCCCTTTTGAACCCCAATTGTAGGCTATAGCAGGGTCTGCGGGGCTTTTGTGACTACTAAGAGAAGAACGGGGTGGTGGGTAGAGAAGTGCCTGTATTTTTGGATTCCCAGGAATGTGCACATACGACCTCCTGCCATCATGGCCTTCTGTGACCTGAAAGTGCCCACCGGTGGACTTGGGAGGTCAAACAGCCCCAGGTCTTAAGAAGAGAAAGCGACCTCCCCTGCTCCTTGCAGGCAGGCATCCACCACGGCCCCCCTCGCCGTGAGCAGGTGGCATCCCTAGATCTGACTATACAACTATGTAACGGCAACAGAGTGGCTCTAACCAGGTGTCCGAGCCCTAGGCAGTGCTCCTTTGCGTCAAGGGCGATGTCACTCCCGCGTTGAGAACAGCACAGAGCATCCTCCACTGTTCCTAAGAATTCCACCCTTGGCAACAGCAGATTAAAGCACAGGGCGCAGCCTGACAACCAGATATCACAGCACCAAATAAAGCGGGCAGGAAGGGATCCAGAAGACGGGTAGTAGCACGTTTTCTGAAAACGGCAATAACTATTCTCAATGGCTTTATTTTCCTAGAAATTAGCAAAACTGGAAAAGTGCCTAAAAGAGATCCACACCAAGCCTTGCACAGGTGGAATGTTGTGGTTCTGCAGGGACCCCCTCCTCTTCAGGGGCCATCGTCACGGGACGGGTCTGCACCACCACAGCCTCCGCAGGGCACGCACCGGCTCCTCGGCCGCCGCCCCTACTGCTCACTCAGCTGCTCGCTGGCGGCTGCCTTGAGCTCAGGCTTCGCAGGGGAGGCCGTGAGGTTGGCCTCTTCTGGTGCACCAGAAACAGCCCGGCGAGACCAGGGCCCAGCCACCCCACCACCCTTCGCAGGAAGCCGGGTCCTCTGACCACGACGGAATAAGCTGGGAAATAAGATAGCAGCTCACAGAGTTTTGAGCAACAGGAACAAAATCTTGCTAGTATCGCTATTGTGGGCCCATACACACTGCGTCTTTCGTAGCTGTTTGCTTGTGAGAACTGTTCCCTCATGCCGCATTGCGTCCACAGAGCACCTCCGGCGCCCTTGCGTTCCTGGTGGCCCTGAAGACACCCCTGTGGGTGCCCCGGGGAGCATGGCCACCAAGATCCAGGCCCACGAAAGCCTTGGGCCACCCTGAGGGGCTCTAGTGAATCTGCATCTTCTGAAAAAGGGACACAGGACAACTCCGGATCTCACAGGCTTGAAGATGTGCATTTTCAGGTTCCTTTACCCTCAAGGAATCTGCATTGTATTTTCCCCCTTCTGAATGGTAAACAGCCACGTGGCCAGAAAATTTTCCCATAAGTTGAATCTGCCTGACACTAAAACGTCTGCATTAAAGATAAAAAAATCACGTGCTCTTCCAAGTGCTTGTCTTTATGATCCCAACGATCCAGATGTGTCGTCTGCAGACCTGGAACACAATGACTGGAGTTTTTCCTTTTAAATCTGTTTGGCACTTTCTGTGGGCTGGGTGGTGAGTGGAAAATCAAAATTGTCTTTTCTAAAGTTGTGGTAAATTATACATAACATTTACTATTTTAATCATTTGAAAGCATACAGTTCTGTGGCATTAAGTATATCCTCATTGCCATGCACCCATCACCCCCATCCATCTCCAGAATTTGTCTTCCCAAACTGAAAACGCTGTACTCACTGAACACTAACACCCCATTACTTCCTCCCCTCATCCCCTGGTGACCACCATTCTACCTTCTGTCTCTATGAATCTGACTATTCTAGGAACCTTGTCTAAGTGGAATCATAACAATACTGTCCTTATTTCACTGAGCATAATGTCTTTAAGATTCATCCATGTTGCAGCCTGTGTCAGCATCTCATTCCTTTTTAAGGCTAATATACTCCATTTCAGGTACATACCATATTTTGTTATTCATAGATATCCTGGTGGTTTCCCCTTTTTGGCTGTCATGAATAATGCTGCTATGAACAGGGGTGTATAAATATCTCTTTGAATCTCTGCTTTTCATTCGAGGATGCACCGAGAAGTAGAATTTCTGGATCATACGGTAATTCTATGTTTAATTTGGGGTTGGGGGAACCACTACTGTTTTCCATAGCAGTGGTACCATTTCGGTTCTAATTTCATCACATCCTTGCCAACACTGGTTATTTTCTGGTTTTTTGCTAATAGTCACTCCAGTGGGTGTGATGTGGCATCTATGGTTTTTTTAAAAAATTAATTTTTGGCTGAGTTGGGTCTTTGTTGCTAAGCGCGGGCTTTCTCTAGTTGTGGCGGGCGGGGGCTACTCTTCGTTGCGGTTTGCGGGCTTCTCACTGTGGTGGCTTCTCTTGTTGCGGAGCATGGGCTCTAAGCACGTGGGCTTCAGTAGTTGTGGCTCACGGGCTCCAGAGTGCAGGCTGAGTAGTTGTGGTGGACGGGCTTAGTTGCTCCACGGCATGTGGGATCTTCCCGGCCCAGGGCTCGAACCCGTGTCCCCTGCATTGGCAGGTGGATTCTTAACCACAGTGCCACCAGGGAAGCCCCTCTCACTATGGTTTTGATTTGTGTATGATTAGTGTATTAAGTCAGGGTTCTCCAGAGAAACAGAACCAATAGGAGATTGATTGATTATAGGAATTGGCTGCGTGTTTCTGGAGGCAGAGAAGTCCCACAATCTGCTCTGCGCAAGATGGAGACCCAGAAAAGCCAGTGGTATAATTCAGTCCAAATACGAAGGGCTGAGAACTGTGGGGGGGTGTCCACTGGTATGTCTTGGACTCTGAAGACCCAAAAACCAGGAGCTCTGATGTCCAAAGGCAGGAGAAAATCGACATCCCAGCTCAAGAAAAGAGAGAAAGAAAGAACTTGCCCTTCCTCCATTTTTTTTTTTTTTTTTTTTTACTCAGGCCCTCAAGGGGTTGGATCATGCTCACCCACATTGGTGAGGGCAGATTTTCTTCACTCCGTCTACTGAGTCAAATGGTAATCTCTTCCGGAATTACTCCCATAGACACATTGCTTAGCTCAGTCAAGTTGACACATAAAATTAACCATCACAATTAGTGATCTGAGCTCTTTTCATGTGCTTATTGGCCATCTGTATATCTTCCTTGGAGAAATACCTACTCAGGTCCTTTGCCTATTTTAAAATTAGGTTCACTTATTTTGTTGCTGAGTTGTAAATGTTCTTTCTATTTTTTGGATATTAATCCCTTATCAGATACCTGATTTGCAAATATTTTCTCCCATTCTATGAGTTGCCTTTTCACTCTCTTGATAGTGTCCTTTGACAAGTTTAAGTTTTTAATTTTTGAAGTCCAGTTTACCTATTTTTTTCTTTGGTTGCTTGTGCTTTTAGTGTCAGATCCAAGATATCATTGCCAAATCCAATGTCATGAATCTTTTGCCCTATTGTTTAAGAGTTTAATAGTTTTAGTTCTTACATTTAGGTTTTGATACATTTTGAATTAATTTTTTGTATATTGTAGCAGATAAGGGTTCAATGTCATCATTTTGTAGTGAATATCCAGTTTTCCCAACACCATTTTTTAAAAGATTGTCCTTTTTCCTTGAATGGTCTTGGCACCCTTGTTGAAAATCATTTGACCATACATCGGAGAGTTTATTTCTGGGCTCTCTATTCTATCCTGTTGGTCTAAATGTTTGTCTTTATGCCGGCACCACACTGTTTTGTTATTGTAGCGTTGTAGTAAATTTTGAAATCAAGACGTGTGAAACATCCAACTTTGTTATTCTTTTTCAATATTATTTTGGCTGTAGGTGGGGATGGGGGTTCCTTGTGATAGCACATGAATTTTAGGATGGGCTTTTCTATTTCTGCAGAAAAACATCATTGGGATTTTGACAGGGATTACACTGATTTTGTAGATTGCTTTGGGTAGTACTGACATCTTAACAGGATCAAGTCTTCAGGTCCATGAACACAAGATGTCTTCCATTTATTTGTGTCTAATTTCTTTCAGCAACGCTGTATAGTTGTCAGTGTACAAACCCTTCATATCCTTGGTTAAGTTTACTCCTGAGTATTTTATTCTATTTGATACTATTATAAATTGAACTGTTTTCTTAATTTCTTTTTGGATTGATCATTGTAAGTGTAAAGAAATGCAACTGATTTTAGGGGGCTGACTTTGTGTCCTGCAACTTTGCTGAATTTATTAGTTCTAGTGGAGCTTTTTGTGTGTTTATTAGTTAATTGGAATGTTTAGGATTTTCTACACATAAGATCATGTCATCTACAAAGGGAGATAATTTTACTTTTTTTCTTTTCTAACTGAATACCTTTTCTTGCCTTGTTGCTCTAGCTAAAACTTATAATAAATACTATGTTAGACAGAAGTGGTGAAAGCATGCCTGCATCCTTGCCTTTTTCCTGATCTGAGAGGGAAAGCTTTCAGTCTTTCACCATTGAGTATGATGTTCGCTGTGGGCTTTTCATAGATGACCTTTATTATGTTGAGGTAGTTTCTTTTTATCTTAGTTTGTTGAATGTTTTTATTATGAAAGCGTGTTGAATTCTGTCAGATACTTTGTCAGATACTATCAGATACTCTGATACTGTCAGAGATGATCATGTAGTTTTTTTCCTTTCATTCTGTTAATGAGGTGCATTACATTGATTGATTTCATAATGTGGAACCATCCTTGTATTCCAGGAATAAACCCCACTTGGTCATGGTGTATAATCCTTTTATTATGCTGCTGAATTCAGTTTACTAGTATTTTGTTGAGGATTTTTGCATCAGTATTCATATGGGATATTGGTCTTTGGTTTTTCTTTTCCTGTTGTGTCTTTGTCTGGGGCTTTGGTATTGGAGTAATGCTGGCCTCATAAAATGAGTTAGAAGGTGTTCCATCCTTTTCAATTTTGGGGAAAAATCTGAAAAGGACTGGTGTCAGTTCTTTAAATGTTTTGTAGAATTCACCAGTGAAGCCATCTTGTCTAGGAATTTTCTTTGTTGGGAGGTTTTTGATTATTGATTCAATCTCCTTACTAGTTACAGATCTATTCATATTTTCTATTTCTTCATGAGTTGGTCTTAGTAGTGTGTGTTTCTAGGAATCTTTCCATTTCATCTGGGTTATTCAATTTTTGATATACAATTGCTCATAGTACTCTTATAATCTTTATTTCTGTATCTCTTAGATCTTTTTCCACCCAAAGGATACAATGCTTAGAGCGTTGAAAGAGAGTCATCTGTGACCATGACTCACGGGCTTCTGCTGTGAGCTGCGGCTGAAGCCTGCTTGCTGCCTTGGGTCCTTGGGCACCACATGTGAGAGCACCCCATGCTCTGAACTTTCTTGGTTTAGCTCTCAGCTGCTAAACTCTCCTTTCCACACACAAAGGACCGCAGGGATCATCAGATTTGGGGAGTGGAAAGACCCAATATAGTGTTTTTCAAACTGTGAGCTGCAGCCTCTTAGAGAGCTGGAAAATCAATTTAGGTGGGTCACAGCCAGCATTCCAGAGATAAAACAGACAGAAAACATCTTGAGTACATTTTAAGTACTGTTTGGTGAAAGTTCTGCCTCAGTTGCATGTGAATATTGTGGATCGTGATGTAAAATGTGTTTCCTACACATTTGGTCAGAGGGGTCAGAAACAATCTGAAAGGTCTCTGATCTAAGCCAGTTCTCCCTCATTTTGGATGGGAGGAAACTGAAGCCCAAGGAGGGTGTACGACTCACTGGAGGTGACATGGTCAGTTTGTGTAAAGCAAGGCCATTGCTGGATATTCTGGCTTCTACCCAAGGGTTCCTCCCAGTGAATGAACATATCATATGGCCTCAAATACTTGAAAATCGATTTTACTCCCTTTCCCAGGGTGAATTTCAAAGCATAGGTAAAAATGATGTTTGGATATTCAGCAACATCTTTGCCTTCTGATAAAATCACTTTTCTCTTGTTTGTTCCCTTTTCCCAGGCAACCTCTCCACCATCCAGATGCTTTAGTAGTTCTCACTTTTCCACCCTTGACAGCAGTAACAGCTTAGATGCCAATGACTCTTCTCTCCAGCATTTCCCCTTTATCCTCCTTGGGATTCCATCATCAGACTTCTCAAGACTATTTCCCTCCCAACTCTACTCAATCTAGGGCACGTCCCTTAAGAGAAAGACAAATCAAGAAGGAAGTTCTGCTGGGAAGAAAAGAAAGGGAATCCTTTATATTTCCACAACAATCAATAGCTCAGGGAGGCCCACAGGCCCCTAAGAGCAAGCAGAAAAGGAGGAATGTGATGCCTCCGGG